TATCTAGTGAGCATGTATAAACGGATGGTGAAAAAGAGTTTAGGAAGGATAACAAAAAGACATGAAATTGTGGAGGGCCATAATTGCCAACATCCTAAATGGGCAACGCACATAGAAGAAGACATGCAATGCGGGTTTATTATTCTTATTGAAAAACTTAAATTGACAACAGTTGCATTGTCATGCCCAAGTGATAGTTATTCTGTAACACACAGAATTCTGGCTTGTGCTTAAGTTGATGGCAAAGTTAGACACTCACTTATTATTTTCAATCGAAGCGATGAAAGACCGAAGTTTGTTTTGTACACTATTTACATTATTCGGACTATTGTCCTCATCTTTGTCGCCATATTTATTACAACGTTTCGGCCGTTGTACGCTCCGGCCTTCTTCAGGTGGTTCGAATGGCGAACTGAACCCTTTATTTTGCTCACTGGGATAGACTGTTCTAGTTCCACATGCCATGTTTAATGATTGTCAGTTGACAGTTATCTCCTGTTAATTCCCCTCTCCAAGTTCTCCACTGCCTTAACCGGGTATTGAACTCACACACTTTGGGTCCTGTCACTGGATCTAACTAACGCCTTTATCCACTGTGCCATGTGTCCTTGAGGAAATCTAGTATATTGTAAAATCATTGTATGAGTAGAAGTGTTTCATCTCTGCTTGTCTTTGTTAAAATTTTGAGTCTACCTGAGAAAATTTAATATTTCTCTATTATTACGGCATGTTGCCTCATTGGCTTTCAGTTAATGTAAACAGACTGCAATATCACAGCATCGTCAATATCAAAACACTGGGACGAGGACATGAGGATAGTTTCCGATTTAAAGAAAGGAACAAAAAGAAATTTAGCTAAATTTGAAAGCTGTGAAGTTGTTTTGAAGAATAATCTTAAGTAACTTTTTATACTATAAAAATTAGCAAATAAATAAAACGGAACTCGTCACTTTCTGATATGCAAAAAACATTACACAGAGAGGGTTACACAGAGAATGAAATCTGTCAATAATGCTATCATGGCTATTATTCTGACCGAAAAAAGTGAAAGTCTCAGAAAAAAAACCCCGAGAGATTATCGTTTTATCAAATCCATCTTTTCACGATCCTCGACAAGGCCATGCAAAAAAGTTGCCATATCACACTAAATTTGGCATTGTGGGCCAAAATAGTAAAACAAAGAGCAATTCTGACCGAAAATTTAAAACCATTTAGCAAAAATTAAAATTTCTATATTTATGATGGATATTGCATCATCGCCATTTAAATAACACAAACTGCAATACTATTATTATAGAATTCTGGTTATTTTGAAAACTGTGAAATTGTTCCAAAGAATAGTTCTCAGTAAGTCTTTATACGTTTCAAAAGAGGCAAAAAGTCGTCATTTCCTGAGAGTTGAGGGGCCCAAATAATAAAAGAGAGGTTTACTCAGTTTGTGAAATGTCAGTCCAGATGAAATATAGTTCAAAAGGCTATCACCAAGAACAAAGCTGATGGCTGTTATTCTGAGCAAAAGAAAAGTGAACGTCGTGGGCGTACACCTCCTAGAGATGGTCGTATTTTCACATCCATCGTATTTTCCTGGTCTCGATATTTCGCGAAGAAAGATTCAATTTCCTCTACTTTTCAGAAGTAGAAATTGACCCCAAACCAATACTGAGTGTGGAAATGTAATTAGAAGTGCTTGGCATCCACCAAAAAGGCATGAACCTTGGACAGAGGAACAATGGTTAAACCTTATGTTCTCTAATGAATCCACCTTGTAGCAGTTTTTTGTGTGTCAGGATTATATCAGAAAGCCTCCACGAAAGATGTATGATGAAACATATATAGGGTGACCCAAAAAAATGGGAACTGTTTAACAATCCAATAAAACCAAGAGTGATAGAAGAAAAAAATCTTTTATTCATAGTAATTGAAACCTTAAAACATGCCATTTAAGAAACAATGATGGAATTTTCATTTTTTTAAAATTACGTCCTGTAGATGGCGTTTTCCTGTACGAATGCATTCTTGAAATCTGCTGTTGAGATTCCTCCTTGACTGCTGCAACATCTCAGCTGGGATTCTGGGAATTTCATCTTGAATTCTAAATGTCTCGCAGTGTTGCCACTTGCTCATGTCTGGCAATACGCACTTCAAAAATTCCCGTTTTTTGGGGTCACCCTGTACCATTCAAAATACGAAACACCTAAGTAGCCAGATCAGTCTGGAATAGCAAGTTTAAATATCCTGGACCCCTGAACCACTATCAATAGTAATGGTAACATTAGCTGTTTCCTTATAAGGAAACATTCGGAATTCATTGACCGAGAAGCCAGTACTGCTGTCGGTTGAAATATTTAAAAGTTGTCTCTGAAAATGTTCAGGAAAATAGGTTTCTCATTTCCTGTAACTATTATCGCTCTTTCCATTATTGATGAATATTTCCTTCCTAATCCTTTATATTTTTGACAGTTTTCCCAGGTGTAAAAGTCGGTTAAACATGGATAAAACATCCAATACTATTAGAGAATATGGGGGTAAAAATATGCCCCATTTTAAATTCAGAAACAAAAGGCTTATATGTGAGCGTGTGTGTGTGTTAATATCCATATTAGATCGATAGGATATATAGAATATTCGGACAGTAAAAACTGTCCGAATGCTTTTAAAATTTAATGTTTTTTTAAAAATTTAATGGGAATTTACCAAAAAAGGTGCACATCAAAGATATTTGACACGTAATATTAAACCACTTTCAATATTTAATATTGTGACATGTATTTGCAATGACAGCTGTCAGACATGAATAATTTGAAATTGGTTTTGCGCAGAAAATAATTCGGCTTTTATTCAACCCCTTTTGACAAAACACCTTAAGACTGCTCAAGTTTTTCGAATTCCTCCGAGGAACTCTACTTTTAAAATTCTTCCGCATATTTTCTCTGCCATTTAGAACGGAAAACTGGTATGACCACTCTAAAGTTTTTATTTACCTGGCATTTAAACTTAAGTCATTTTCTTAAATTGCCTTGTCACATCGAGACTTTCATATAAATGCCATTTCATGTTGCCAAACCAACTCAGAAATATCAGCTGTATGGAACCGCTTTCAAGATATGAGAAATCGATTGTATACAGCTGACTGTAAAAGTATCTAGAACTGGAATCTCAGAATTCCGTGCGTAGTAAAATTAAATTTTGATAATAATATTGACGAATAAGATATGGGAAAGGATACAATTAATTTAGTAGAATTTCGTTCCGATATACTCTGGAGAAATCAGCTTGGACAGAAGAACAATGGTGAAACGTTACGTTCTCTGGTGAATTCACACGGAAGCAGTTTTTTTTGTGTCAGAAAGCCTCCGCGAAAGATGTATGATGAAACATATATCATTCAAACTATGAAACATCTAAGCAACTAGATCAGTTTGGAATAGCAGGTTTATATTTCCTCAACACTTATACAGAAAATGTCGGTATTCATTGACAGGAGCAGCCAATGTTACTGTCGCGCTGCAATTCATAAAATATTTCTTTGACACTGTCTTTTTTTCTTCTTCAGGAAAATAGGTTTCTCATGTCCTGTAGCTGTTATGGCTCTTTTCAGTATCGATGGAAGCTTCCTTCATTGTCTTCTATTTGAAACAGTGTAGTAGGTCATCTTCTTGATTAAATAATTATTCTGTCTTCGGGTTGCATGTCCTATCCATTTTACTTGTTGCCGGTGTTGAAAGTCCTCAAGTAATATCGTTTTTGTTATTTGGTACAATTCTTTGTTTGTGATTGTGCAGTGCCAGCCTAAGAGGTTCGAAGAAGTATGCTCCTCACTAAAACCTACACTCGCTTGAAGCCATTTTGACCATCGATCTGAGAAATTGGTTGAATATAGCTGACTGTAAAAGTATCTGGAACTGTAATCTCAGAAATCTGTGCGTAGTAAAATTAAGTTTTGATAATAATATTGACGAAGAAGATATGGGAAAGGATACAAATAATGTAGTAGAATTTAGTTTCGATATATTCTGGAGAAATCAGCGTGGACAGAGGAACAATGGTGAAACGTTATGTTCTATGATGAATCCACACGGAAGGAGTTTTTTTTTGTGTCAGGAAGCCGCCACGAAAGATGTATTATGAAAAATATAACATTCAAAATACGAAACACCTAAGTAGCCAGATCAATTTGGAATAGTAAGTTTAAACATCCTGGACCCCTGAACCACTATCAATAGTAATGGTAACATTAACTGTTTCCTTATAAGGAAACATTCAGTATTCATTGACCGAGCAGCCAGTGCTACTGTCGGTTGAAATATTTAAAATTTGTCTCTGAAAATGTTCAGGAAAATAGGTTTCTCATGTTCTGTAACTGTTATGGACGGGGGCTTCTTTCCTTGTGTTTTGTTTGAAAGAGTGTGGTATGTCAGTATCTTGATTATGTCATGATCCTCCCTTGGGGATTACATGTGAGATATTTTTTATATACTACTTCTGTTGAAAGTCCTCAAGCGAACGAACTGGTTTTCTGTTCCCTCGTATGTGATTCTGTATGTGATTCTGTTGCTTCTGCCTCACTAAGACTAGCAAGCTTCACTCGTTCAAAGCCATTTTAACAATCAATCTTAGAAATCGGTTCTATACAACCGACTGTAAAAGTATCTGGAACTGGAATCTCAGAAATCTATGCGTAGTAAAATTAAGTTTTGATAATAATATTGACGAAGAAGATATGGGAAAGGATACAAATAATGTAGTAGAATTTCGTTCCGATATACTCTGGAGAAATTGGCTACGTTAGCAATGTGTGTTAAAACAGATAATGATAGTGATGGATAAACTAGAGTTTCACATACACATATATGATGCCTGCACACTTATGCAGGACGATGCACCATGCAACAAAGCAAAAAAAAAATGCAAGAATATCTTAAGGAACTCCATGTCTCTATAATGGAATGACCCCGCAACAGTCCTTTTGAAAATTGGCTTATGTCCATATCACATTGAAACCGATCACCGAAGTTAAACAACGTTTGAGCCTGGTCAGTACCTTGATGGGTGACCACTTGTGAATACCAGGTGCTGTAAGCTTGGATGTGCAGGTGGTGTAATGGGCAATGGCTCGGAATTGTTAATCGGAGATCCAATTCCAGTTCGGTTCATTAAATTCACTGATGTGAAAAAGTTCTTGGAAAAATTATAAATCCACTTCTTCAACTATGGGTTAAAGTATACTTTTATCACTAACATCTCAAAAAAAAAATCTGACAATCTAAAAATATTTTCTGGCTTTAAATAACCTGTAAAAGGTTGATAAGTCGTAGAAAATGAATGAATCAGATGCACAGGCGTGTCTTTTGGATTTATTTACATTCTGTGATATATGTGTATAGAAACCAAAGTGGCCACAAACTGAGGGATCAATTCATTGACTGATTGTAATATAGAATTGATCCCCCATTTTATATAGACATTACATTTCCTTGTTTCTTTATCAAACTGTGATTACCGTAATTCCCCATGTATAATATACCTTCATCCATAATACGCACCGCTAAAATTGTGCTGAAAGTGTGGGAAATTGCTTCTACTCATGCATAATACGCACCCCTTGTCTGGTAATCAAACCCTATAAATTGTACCTCTCCAATTTACGGCCAGCGTTTCCTACTCTTATTAAAAATGGTTTTAAACAGAATAATATTATTCGAATTTAGTTTTATGATAATTCTTATTTTATTTTACATTTGTAAGTATTGTTAGGTATTTATGATTTTATTTGACATCCTTATGGGGTCGCAATCGCCGAATGTTTGTCAATTTTTTTTGTAGCTGTGCATAATACGCACCCCTAACTTTGCTTATTATTTTTGTAAGAAAAAATGCGTATTATACATGGGGAATTACGGTGGGTATGAATTTACCTCATCTCATCCAGATATTGCTTAATTGTATCACTAAAATTATTATTATCTAAAAAAAAATATTGTAACAATCTAAAAATGTTTCCTGGCTTTAAATAACGTGCTAGGGGTTGATAACCGGTAAAAAAGTAATTATTCAATGAAATCACCTCTTCATGATGAAAATTTTCCAACACTCGCTTCCATCGAGTAGATTATACATTACTTAGCACTTTTTGTTTTTTTTCTAACGATATTTTTCCATATCTTAATACTTTGTTTAGGTTTTGCAATTCCTATATATTTTCAGGTTTTGCAATTCCTATATATTTTTAGGTTTTGCAATTCCTATATATTTTTAGGTTTTTCAATTCCTATATATTTCCAGATTTTGCCATTCCTATATATTTCTGTATTTCTGTGTCATTTCCCGACAACTGTCATTATGCTAATTATATAGTTAAATACTGTACTTGCTTGATTTTAGCATAAGACCATTAATTCTCTGTACTGTAACTCTGAAACTGTAATTTCACCTGACATTATATTAATAAGTAATGATTCATATATTATATTTTGTTATTTCCATCCTTTTTTTTAAGATTATTTTGTATTTTTGTAGACTTTTTTAAAATGTCATTCTCATTTATAATTTTTTTACATCTTCCCTCCGTTAATAATTTTGCATCACGTCCCTACAAATCTGATCTTTGAAAAGCTTCAAATTTGTAACTGTGTGAAAAGTACATTGAAGTGCCTCAACGACGTGCCATAGATGACGTCGGCTAACTGCCCCGCCATCTTTCTTACGCCATGTCATCTCATAACTTCATATTACCCCAAAGTCGTTATGGTTAGCGAAAAAAACTGTATGACTTACCGTCGATTTCATCCCCCTATCACTTCTTTCTATTCTTTCTTCAAGGCGGAACCACAGCATCCATCCAAATATCTATCAAATCCGGGGTATTTCCACGCTGGAGTTGGGGTTGGGAGTGATTTGACTCCGAGTACTGAAGTGGCTTTGATGTCGAGGTGTTCAGACTTTGTCACGTGATGTAAAGACGGGCGTCCGTCTACACTGCTTGGGCCGAAATTGGCATGATCACGGCAACTGCGATTGGGTCTGGAATCGGTGCGAAGCATCAGGAGTTTTTTGATCTTCGATCACCCAGTATCAGATATTATTGGTGTCCAATCAATTACGATCACTTCTTTTTTCTCATCTTCGATTATACGCATTTTTAAATTTTATTTTGTTTTATTTATTTTTCTATTTTTTCTTCTCTGTTTTATGGACTCATTTAAAGAATCGTTTTTTTCATTTTTTATATTTTCTTTTTTTTAAAAAGGACGAAATCTTTTTCATTATATTTTTTAGGTCTCTCCATATTCTACTGACGTTTTTCTTTCTTTCTTTCTTTCTTTCTTTCTTAATATCCAATTCTTTCTTAGCATTTCTAATTCTTTCTTTCTTTCTTAATATCCACTTCTTTCTTAGCATTTCTATTTCTTTCTTTCTTTTTCTTTCTTTCTTTCTTTATTTCTTTCTTTCTTTCTTTCTTTCTTTGTTATTATCCATTTCATTCTTAAAGTTTCTAATCCTTCCTTCCTTCCTTCCTTCCTTCCTTCCTTCCTTCCTTCCTTCCTTTCTTCCTTCCTTAATTCAAAAGATAACATCAAAGCTTAGAGAACTTCTTCAAAGTTCCAAAATTTGTCCAATTTGCGTGTGCACGTGCGAGCGTGATCGCACACACGCACGTACACACACACACACACACACACACACACACACTGGCACATAACAATCCGGACGAATATAATCGCGCTCACAGACATATGCATACGCAAAGAAATCGATATTTTGAAAAAAATAATAAAACACAAAAGCCTTCTCAACGAATACACGCAAACACATGACAATACAAATACGTGAATCTCATGCCCATGCACTGAGATAGGTACACAAATATCTACATTCAAATTCTATTTGTCCCTACAAAGTCAACTGTTTATTTATAGTAAAATGACTGTAGCCATTTCTTTCTGAAGATGTATTTCTTTTGTGTGTCTTGACTTTTCCGAACTCTCCTATTCTCCGTAGGACTTGTTTGTCCCATTCGCAAGTCTACCACCATACGTTCCGTCATCCACTTATAGAAACTCGTCAATTACATAGCCTGCTTGTCTCCCCTATCCCGTTTACCTTCAAATGCCCTGTAAGTGTCAAATTCTCCGAACCCTCGTTTCTCATCATGTGTCCCAGAGAGTTTAGTTGTCTCTTTCTAATTCTGTGTATGCGTACTTTTTGTTGCTATTTATCTTAAGATTCCGTCGTGCTCCGTCCATGGAATTCTCAACATCCTTCTGTAGAACAGCATTTCTGTTGGCTCCAGTTTCCACATCGTTTTTGAGGAGATTATCCATCATTCCCTGACATAAAATGGAATTGATAAGAATTGGCATAAGAGTTCAGCACGCTTTTCTTAATTTCTAATCCGGTTTTCCTCTTTCGAAACACTGATTACCTTTTCGGAAGACATTTTGACTGTTCCAATGCACCTTCAGATTAAGGTGTTGCATTTTCACTTCTTAGGATTCTTAGTTCTTTCTTTTTTATTCTTTATTTCTTTCTTTATATTCACTTTCAATTTCTTTCTTTCTTTCTTTCTTTCTTAATATCCACTTTTCTTAGCATTTCAAATTCTTTCTCTCTTTTTCTTTCTTTTTTTTCTTTGTTTATATTCACTTCTTTTTAATTCTTTATTTCTTTTTGTCTTTCTTTCTTTCTTTCTTTCTTTCTTTCTTAATATCCACTTCTTTCTTAACATTTCTGATTTTTTCTTTCTCACTTTCTTTCTTTTTTCTTTCCGTATATTCACTTCTTTCTTTCTTTCTTTCTTTCTTTCTTTCTTTCTTTCTTAGTATCCACTTTTTTAGCATTTCTATTTCTTTCTCCTTCTTTCTTTATATTTACTTTTTTTTAATTCTTTATTTATTTATTTTTGTTTTTGTTTGTTTGTTTGTTTGTTTGTTTGTTTCTTTTTTTTCTTTCTTTTTTCTTTCTTTCTTAATATCCTCTTAACACTGCTTATCTTTTCGGAAGGCATCTTTCGCTCGTCCAATTCCTGTTCGGATTTTAGTGTCGCATTTCCACCCTCTGTTATTTAAACTTCAGTACTTGTTAGATGTTGAAAACTCCAATTCGTTTTCTCTCTTGCTAACAAAAATACATTCAGTTTTCTGTGATAGTTAGTCCTTTCTTTTCGCTTTCCTCTACTTTTCTAGGTGGTCATGTAGAATTTCATGTGCATCTACCATCAACACTGTGTCATCTGCGTTTTATATATCGCTAAGATCGTGTCCACCGATAATAAATCATGGTAGACTCTCCAGCTCTCATCGCTTTAGGGATTTTGTATAAATGAGACAAGATGTTGCATGCTTGTTTTACGGCTGTCTTTTTTGTTTTCCTATTCAATTGATTTTATATCCGTATTCAGCAGGTTTGCATCCAATGTAATTGAATTATCCTAACAACCTTCCCAAACAGACCTGATTTCCATAACACTTCAAATAGATCTTTCTACTGTACCTTATTGTTGTAGAGTAGTTTTCACAGTGGAGGCTTGTATTTCACTAAGTCTGTCCTAAAAGAGTCCGACGTACAAAACGTTAGGAACTTGAAATAAGAGTTAATGACGCAGCAATCTAGTTGTGATGGTTGATACCTCAATGTCCGACATCGACTGACTCACTTAACACCACTGAGCCCCACTGGTGACCGCTACTACTACTTATTATGTGTGGGAGGGTCTATTAATAATAGAATAGGTACGTTCAGGTATGACACTTATCAAATACATTTTTAATTTATAACACATCCTTCTGCATTAGTATTTTTCTGTCTGATATGGTTCAGATTAAGGTCTACTAAGTTATTATCTTACTTTGTATCTAGACCAGCATGGCCATCTTTATTTGTTATCTTCATAACGTTTCACTCGCTGTACTCTCTACATTTCTTCAAGTGTTCTTTTCGGAATTTTAAACTGAACACTTTCCTGTATAGCAACTCATTGCGCCTTCTTGGTTTCATGTATTCTACTGCTGATATATATATATATATATATATATATATATATATATATATATATATATATATATATATAACTGAACATAGAAG